CTCACACAGGGGCCGTGTGCGTGCGTGCCCAAGATCCCAAGAGGAGACTGGAAGAGAAGGGATTGCAGCATGGCCATCCTCCCTGGGGGTGATTTCCTATTTTCTGTCCTTCTGTCTCTCTCTGTCTCTTCGGCGAGTGCACACACCCTATAGCAAAAATCTCTCTCTAAAATAATAATAAAACACACATTATGAAATTTCCCTGTACTCTTCAGACAATCGCCTCAGTTTTCTTTCACTCGGACAGTGGAGACGATCACAATGGAAGGCTCATGCCATCATTCTCACCAGGGTCTGCTCCAGGGTCAGGGTCCACGCGGCCCTCCCAACCTACTCTCTTTCCTGTCCTCTGTGGGCCCCAGGCTAGAACTGACTGTTGAGCAAATCCTGCTACCAAGACTTGCCCATCCACCTGGGGTCTATCCTTCCAGACTCATGAGGGATGAGGCGAGCTCCTCTCAACATGTCTTCCCTCTTCCTTGTTCTCACATAAGTGCATGGCATATTGAATGTTTGTGAAGCTTTTCATCCTTTTCACACTAAGGAAACAGTGCCGGTACAAAGCGGGGGTAACTGGAATTCGTGTTCACAGGGCCGCCGTTGTCTGTGGAGACAGCTGCCTCTGGTCTTCTGTTTCTTTTGTTTTCTGGAACTGGAGCTCAGGGTGCTCTCTGACTTTATTCTTCCAATACCACCTCTCTGCCCTTGCTGAGCACATTGTCACCTGGAGGGCCTTCTGCAGTAACAAGTGCCAGAACACTCAGGTGAACCTAGCGGACATCTCAGAGGGTGCCCGGCTAGTCACAGACCTGTTTTCTCTAGGACAATGCCCTTCCGTCAGTCATTCCCACCACTCTCACTGCCACAGGAAATGACAACAAACAGTTAAATTTCATGGGAAGTGAAAACAAAAACAGAAAAAGTCTGTGAGAAAGAAGAGACTTTTGTCTGTATGCTCAGCCCTGAAGCCGGTTCAGAGGAGCAGGAGCTGCCGTTGGTGTCTTCTCCCGACAGTGTCGTGGAGTCGGAGAGGGACACTGGCCAGTTTTCTAAAAGGAGCTGCTTCAATACACAGCTCCCTCCTTCTTTGCCCTGAGTGGTAAACTCATTCTCAGAATCCCAGGACACAAAGTCCCATGAGCTAAAAAAAATCCCTTCCACTGGCGAGTGTATGTGAACCCGTGTACATGTGTGAGTGTGGGTGTGTCCTCGTTCCTTGCAAATCTTCTGGCCTCAAAGACTAGCTCCCTGCCTCTCCCCAGAGTTTACTCATCCCCTCAGTTGTTCATCCTCTCTTATGCTTTCTTTTTTCCTCTCCTGGCTCCAGCCCCCTTACCAGTTACCTGCTTTTCCATAGCATGGGTATTGGCTCGAAATTTTATCATAACACAGCTTGAGAATCTCTTATCCCAAATGCTTTGGACTGGAAGCGTTTCAAATTCCTCATTTTTTTCAGAGTTTGGAATATTCTCACATACATAACGAGATATCTTGGGATGGAACCCAAATCTAAACATCAAATTCATTTGTTTCATATACACCTTAAACGCATAGCCGAAAAACAATTTTATATAGTATGTTTGTATTGTGTTGTTAGTGACCGCCACCATCACAAGAGGTCAAGTGTGGAATTTTCCACGACGGCTTCATGTTGACACACAAAACATTTTGGATTTTGGAGCATTTCAGATTTTGGATTGTCGGATCAGGGATGCTCAACCTGCATATACATCTGCTTCTTGTCTTTTCACTCCACTAAGACACATCCTTGAAGGTGCGGGTTTTATCTCAATGTTCACTGCTGTGTTCTTGAGACCGAGAATAAATCATGCCTGGTACCTTCTAAATACTCAATGAGTCCTCATTGAATTATAACTGTATGTGGGGGGCATACATGCGTGCACGTGTGTTAGAGCATGTGAAAGTGAGACCGTGTGTGTACATGCACGTGCAGTACACTGGGTATCTCTATGACGTTCAGATTATGCCTGCCTTCAGCTTAAATGTGCCCATGTATCCAGTGATGACCCTGCTGTGCTTTTCTCTTCTCAGGAAGAAATGCATCCGCTCCTGCTGAATCCATGATTAGCGCTGTCTGGATTAACAAGGAGAGAAGGAGCTCGCCGTCTCCAGAACAGGCCGACCCTGAAGGGGAGGACATGCTGGAGGAGGCTGACAGAGGCTGTGTTCAGGCCCCCGAGTCTCCATGGCACACACACCTAGAGATGTACCGTGTAGTCCAGACCTTCCACCAGGAACCCAATCATCAAGAAAAGCACAAGAGCAAGCCTGTGGGGTCCGGTCAAAGGCTCCCTCCAGAAGGAGACTCACACTTGTTTGAAAAGAATCAGATGACTCCCCCAGGAGCCAAAATCCCAGAGGCGGCCCAGCTGCAATGTCAGGTGAGCCACGTCCAAGCAGAGGCAGTGGAATCTGGCTTTAAAAACAGCGTTCAGTGTCCTCCTTCCATAAAGAACCCACACAGGTCTGGGAAACTGGCTCACTATCCATTTCCACAGAGGAAAACTCCCAGGATCTCCCAGACTGCCCGGAACCTGGGTTTATATGGCCCAGCCTGAAGTTTTCTACCCAGCCAGTTGTCTCAGCCTGGAGGCCATCCATGGCCTCGTCAAAGAACCAAGAAGTCAGGGTCACAACTAGAGCCTCACTATGAACAAGAACTGGACTAACCCAATCAGTGGAATTGTGGAATATGAACTTCATGGTAGGAACAGAATCTTGTCCTTCAAAAACAGAGCGACCGCTCAGACTAGATTGAAAGAATACGGTCTGATCAATTTAGCCTCATTCTGCTTACGTAAGAAGGCATTGCTATGGAGTCTTGGATGCCCATCCCTTGGGAAGGTTCAGTAGGGCATTTGTTCCATCCCTGGAACGGTAAAATCTTGGAATACAGAGCTGGGGCTCTAACCAATAGACCTTAGCAATACCCAGGGGTCAGTGAGAGTCAGCAATTTTGTTTTCCATGTTTTCTGATACATCACATATTCTAGAGGAGAGGAGCGCTGAGAATTCAAAACCGTTTTCTCGTTACTATAACTGGGGGCCATCTTATTTGGAAGTCATGACATTCACAGACGTGACGACACCATCTCAGATGGAGCTCCCAAAGTATGGTCACCCTGGGCACACAGGCTCAGATCAAGGCCACCCACCATTTTGTTGTTTAAGGAAACAGCTCGCCATCTGTCGCCTGAAACGGCACCTTCTAGCCACTTCCTCCTTCCCTTTCTTACCTTCGCCCTCCCTTTTACCTTTCTTCGTTCTTTCTCTGCAAATTAACTTCTTACTAAAAACTAGCAATCATCAGAGGTATATAGTGAGGGACTCCCCAGTAAAAAGAGACAAATAAATACTCCTGCTTGGAAAATAAGCATTTCTCACAGCCTCCCCCTTTCTCCAGCCTCACTTGAATTACTCAGATCTTTCTGGAGGTCAAATACAAGTTTTTAAACCTAAGACAAAGTGCAGCAGGTGTCACTGGGTGACGGGGAACAAAAGTATGTCTTTCCTGGTTAATGTTTAACTCTCGTAATGATATTGAAACACACCGAAGGTGCCATTCCCTCACATCAGATAAAGTTTCACTCTTTTTCTCCCGCATAGAAATCCAGCCTTGCTCATCCACGTCCAGGGTTGTTAACTAGGAATGCTGTTACCTGTCAAAAATATATACGTGCCTGCTCCTTGGCCACCCAGAAATCTACTCCAATTTAGGGATTCATTGTGATTTTTTGTTTGTTTGTTTTGGGTGGATAATTAGTAAGATTCAGTTGTTTTTTTAAATATATATATGCATATATGTGTGTATATATATGTGTGTGTATTTTATATATATATATACACTCTAATAAAACACAAGGAAAATATTGAAAGATATATTGTCCTTTGGTTTTGTTTGTTTGCTTCTTTTTTATTTTTATTTTTTTGAGAGGTTTTTGCTATAGGGCACGTGTGCTTGCCAGACAGAGAGAGACACAGAGATAGAAAGCAAGAAATCACCCCCCAGGGGGGATGGCCATGCCGCAATCCCTTCTCCTCCGTTCTCCTCTCGGGATTTTGGGCACACACACACATGCACCCAGTGTGAGTTTAAGCCACTGGGTCCTGGACCCGAACCGCAGTCGACTGCATGGGAGTCCAGCGCAGCGACATAGCCATTACGCTAACTGCTGGTCCCCTTTGTTTTCATTTTAAAGATTCCCCGAGCAATCCCCTTTCTACAGTCTTTCTAATTCCTCTGTCTTTATTGCTCCAAGGCTCTTTCTTACATATTTGGGGGCATGTAAGGTGGTAGAGACTGCATGGGCTGTGGAGTCAGCATACCTACATTTTATTTTATTTTTTTCAAAGAATTACTTATTTAAATTTGTTTATTTTATTTTTGTTTTAGTTCACCAGAGAGAGAAAGAGAGAGAGAGAAAGTGAAAAAGCAAGCCGCCAGGTCTGGGACTTGAACCACAGTCAGCCATGTGGGAGTCCAAGTGCCTCAACCACCATGCCACTTGCTGGCCCCTAGACCTGCATTTTAATCCAGTCATCTTTGACCTGTGATTTGGGTCATGTTACTTCTCTCTCAGTTTTGGTTTCACCATCCGTAAAGTGAAGGAGCTAATACCCTTGAAAGGACTGGCAGAAATGTGTGTAAGAGTTCCTGGCGCTCTCAGCAAGAGGCAGTGATGATCAATTGTGAGAGTTCATGCCCTCTCTTCTCATCACCCACTCAGGCGTCCACCCCCTGCAAGCTGCTTCAGCTCCCAGGAAGATCACTAACCACTTCCTTCTCTCCAAATGCAACTGTATCTTCTCCTGTCTTCCTTCTCTTTGACCTCATGGGCATTCACTATTCACCATGTTCACATTGACTGCCTGTCCTTCTCCTCCTCCTCCTTTCCTGCTGGGATCTTCCCTGTCTGTGAGTTCCTTCAAGGCAAGGAAAGGCGCTGGGATCTTCCCTAACTGTCTGTGAGTTCCTTCAAGGCAAGGAAAGGGTCTGATGAGTCTCATTGCCCCAGCTCAGAGGATAAGGCTTGGCATATAATGTTTAATAAACGATGGTCCAATAAGTGAGTTAGAAATGAGTGCTGGGCCAGCTCCATGGCACAGCCAGAACACGCAGCTCAAGAGAAGCCAGATCCCAAATGGCAACCATGGTTTGAATCCCTGGGCCATGGATCTAAAGTACACCAGACACACATGCAAAGGCCTAAGGTTCTATGGGATGAAGGGGATCACAGCGTGACCAGACTCTACGGAGGGCACTTCTCTCTCTCTAACTTTCTCCTTTCTCATTTTCACGTGTGTATGCACACACTCAATTGTAAATGAAGAAAGAAACAAAAACACAAGTGCCACGTCATTCTTTTCTCCCACTCAACAATTCGATTCTCCCCTGCTCTCCTTAATTTATAGATTTTTCCAGGTTCAGACTTTGACCTTTTATTTCCTCTTAAAGTGTTCTCTATTGGGTCAGAGAACGGGGAAGGATGTGATCCCCTGTGAAAAATGTAGAGAGAAGACAGGGGGCAGAATGAATCCCGAATATTCCGAATTTGTTTAGGAGAAATTTAGGAGTGATCCTAGATTACAAACAGTGAGATTGAGCGAGTGCGAGGCAGCGGAGGAAACTCTGAGAGGGAGTGACCAGGGAGACAGAGGAGAGACAGAAGGTGACAAAACTCAAGAGGTGAGAGTTAGTGCATGACGTTGTATAGATCTCTCCCCAATTGAAAACCATTCATGAATCCCCGCTGGGTAGAGTCCTTGTTCTCCCGGCTGGAGTAACTTTTTTAGAGCATGGGTTTAAGATGCCAGCCTCCAGGAGGCAATGGTAGTATGAAGGCTTCATCCAGGGGGCAGCAAAAGCAGCCTTAGCAACTTCAGGTCAGAACTGGCTGACTGCCTGGAGGCTGGGTGAGGGTGGCTTTGGCCCAAAAGCCTGGCCTGCCTGGGGACTGGATCCTCCCCTGTTTGGGGTGGGGCTGAGGCTTGAGAGCTCCGGGTGGTGGAGCTTGGGGGAGGCTGCAGGGAGGAAAGGACTGACCTTTGGCTCTTCCCTCTGCCTTCCCACGAAGCTGCTCCTGCCAAGAGCGTCAGACTAGAACAGTCTGTCCCTGGGTCGCACACGCGTGCATCTGCGCTCCTACCAACCCGAGGGCTGTCAAACCTGCTCGGGCCAAGGGCTCTGATTACTGTCTGGGCGGTCACACCACCCAGGGCTCGGGTTTTCGTTCCCGTGCTGGACTGGGACTGGGGCTCACGTCTGTCCGTCTGTCCGCACTCTCCCACGTACTACCAGGAGGAGGAACGACCAGCTCACCTTGCAAACCCTGCACCAGGCAGGGGACCTCACCTAGGGCCCCGGGAGGAGTCGCCGGGCGGCTGCCATGCCCAGGCTTCCACTTCCCAGGCCTGTAGCGGATGGATGGGCACGGCTCAGAGCTGCCCTTTGTGACCTACCCCTGGGGGCCACAGACGTCCCGGTCGTGAGGGAAGGCGAGGCCTGGGGAGGAGAGACTTTTCACTATCCCGTGAACCGAAAACGCCCTTTTTTCCAACAGCTGCTGCCCATTGGCTCGGGCCGAATTCCCCATCCCCGCTACGGGGCAGGCTCCTCCTAGGGTGCGTCAGTCTCGTTCCTTCGCTTTTCTTTCATTCCCTGTCATTAAAGCTGTTCCTTCCAGTTCTTGAAACTTGCAATTACTCGAATTTAAGTCTATCGCCTACTCAGGTCAGAGTCCCCCAACTCAACTGCCTCGCTCCCAAACCTCCTCCACCCCAGGCTGGACTATACCTTTAAGGCTAGAGGAGGGGCGTGGCCTTCACACTCGCAGACCCCACCCCCACTCCCTTAGGTACACGAGACTGGGGAAGGAAGGACAAGGACACAAGGTGGCTCTTTGTACGCGTGGTGTCGTCGGTGTCGCTTGGTCTCTTCTCTCGTCTGTTTACACTGGCCTACCTCGTCCCCTGCAAGCTTGCTGCGTTCCTTCTGATGACGGACTCGCCCCAAGCAGCTCCACTACCCAGGGGTCCCTCTCCGAGCGGCACCTAGTCATCCCACCACCCCCTTCCCTTTGCCCTTTACCCCAGTTTCATCTACCACTGCTGGCCCCACTGGGCAACCCTGCCCCTGTGGAAGGGGGTCATCCATGACCTTCTCTTCCCGGTGGATCCATCCTGTCATTTTCCCACTCAAGTCTCTCCTGTCTCCTGGGGCAGGTCTGGTGGCCGAGCAGAAATCCAATCAGGATGTCACTGCATCCTGGCAGACAGGCGTCCCTTTCTCCTTTTGGTTTTAAGAACTAACCTCATGTTCACTTCCTTGATCAGGAAGAAAGGGAGTGGCTGCCACGGAAACCCTGATTGTCCCCAACAGGCTCCCTCCTCCAACCTCACATCACTGAGGGACATAGTTCTGTCTATTCTGTCAAAATGGTGTTTGTCAGGCCAGCAGGTGCGCGATGGTTAAGGCACTGGACTCCCACCTGGGCAACTGCAGTTGGAGTCTGAGACCTAGTGACTTGCTCTCTGTCTCTCTCTGTCTCTCTCTCTCGCCCACATGCCCTATAGAAAATCCAGTAAATAAATAAATAATAAAATAAGTAATTCTTTTTTTAAAAAAATGGTGTTTGTCAGCAAGCTCTGGGCTGAGGTTCTCAAACTAGGGCATCCTCAGAATCACCTGGAGGGCTTGTTAAAACACTGATTGTTGGGAACCAGCAGTTAGCGTAATGGCTATGTCGCTGGACTCCCACGTAGTCGACTGCGGTTGGTGTCGCGGACCCGGTGGCTTAAAACTCACGCCAGGCGCGTGTGCGTGCATGCCCAAGATCCCGAGAGGAGAATGGAGGAGAAGGGATTGCGGCGTGAACATCCCCCTGGGGGGTGATTTCTCGCTTTCTGTTCTCTGTCTCTCTCTGTCTGTCTGGCGAGCGCACGCGCCCTATAGCAAAAAAGAAAAAGAAAAAAAAACAAAACACTGATTGTTGATTCCCCACCTCCAACGTGAGGATTTCTGACTCAGTAGATGACTGTGGAGGTGGAAGTGGCAAGTGGGGAGAGGGTAATAATTCACGCTTCTCGCCAGTTCTCGGGTGATGCTGCTGGTCTAAAAGACGGAGCTTCGAGAACCACCACTCTTGGGAATATGACTCACCTACACAACTGGCAGTTCCTAAAATATGGGGGTCTCTCATACCCACTGTTGTTAGTTGTGGATTATTTTATAGACACCATCTGGGGGGAAAGCGGGGAGATCCCACGGGCACCACAGCTACCCTGTCCTCGTTGCTATTTAATTGTGTGACCCCTGACCCCTGGCTGATGGATGGTGTGGAGCTGGGTCAGAGATGGAGGACCATGTCACCACTGTCACTGTGCCTCAGTTGTATGGAAGGACTTTGCCTCTGCTTTTTTTTTTTTTTTTTTGAGAGATTTTTGCTATAGGTATTGTGCAGATAGACAGATAGAAAGTAAGAAGGTATCTCCTGGGGGAAATAGCTATGCCACAGTCCCTTCTCCTCCAGTCTCCTCTCAGGATTTTGGGCACGCACGTACACACACCCGGCATGAGTTTAAACAGGGGCATCCAGGACTTGAACTGTGGTTGACTATGTGGGAGTCCAGCAACATGACCATTATGCCATCTGTTGATCCCACCTCTGCTTTTTAGTAAGAAACAGTTTCTGCAGTGGAAAGGAAAGAAAGGGAATTCCCCTTCCAGAAGCTGACTTGAGCTGTTGATCGGGT